CCCCCCGTGAACTTAATAATTCGAAGTCGAGGTGTATGTGATTAATGGAGTTGAGGTTGCTTGGCATCATTGGAGGCAAAATTGAGAAATGGCAGCCAAAGTTTGCTGTAGTGTCTGTGGAAACTCCAAATTTACATATTTTTTGCCTTTGCTCAACGTTTTTCAGCAAAATTCACACACGTTTGTGACTGTTTTAAAATGGACAGAAAAAAAATAAAATAGCCCAAGTAGCGTAAAAAATGCGTTTCTTTTTCATTTTTTTTAGGCATCGTGAAATTAGGCAGTTGTTAAAATAATGAAATCGAAAATACTGGCATTTTTATCAGATGGTCTGGCATTATTTACCAAATTTTTGTTCTTTAGCTCACTCAGCACTTTTTATCTCCATTTAAATTTACATTCTGCAGTGGTTTTTCTGAAAATTGAAAAACGCTTTTTATTTTCAAGGCATAAAAAATGTTAATTTTCAGTTTCAAGGGACTTTGAAGCTGCAGGAAGTCCCCAAACTTTGGCGGCCATTTTCATGCTAATTTTACTGCTGAAACAAGGTGACCCCCACCTACAACCGCAAATATCTCGATTTTTATTCGAGTTAAATGGGTATGATTTTTCTGCCAAAGATAGACAAATAAACAAGCTTTACTTTAAGATTTTACCGACAACTCTACATGCCCAAATTTTAATTGCTGATCACCTGATTTCACCACGTCAACTGACACATTTTGTCGAGGGCTTGATTGTACCACGATGCCTCACATAGATAAAGATTCATGGGTGACTTAATTTTTTTTCAAGTAAACTAGAGCACAATGATAGTCATAGTAACTCGTACTCGTACAGTGGGATTGGGATGGAAAAAAATCTCAAATGTTTTTGGTTGATTTATACTTTTGTTGTGTGGATTCTCCATCGGAAAACAAGGAAGCACACGTCAGATTCTAACATTCAGGGCAAAATGTGTACAGTGGAACTCGGATTTAACGAGCTCGGATTCAACGAGATGAGATAGATTCCCCGGTTTTTTTTTCTTCTTTAAAATCAATATAAAAGTAACCCGGATTCAACGAGCACTTAAATCAGCGAGCTCGGATTCAATGAGGTCGCTTCCAGGGTGAAAAGCCCCCGCAGACGTGGCTACGTAAATTTTTCTCCCAGAACCAACTTTATCGGAAACCATCCATTGCACCTGCATCGTGAACCATTATTCACTTAGCCGATTGCATGCGACCAATCAGAGGCCTTTTTAAATACCAATACATGCGTTGTTGGCACGCGCACGTGTCTACTCTGGCATGTGTCGGGGTAGGATGGGCGGCCTGCACACTTGTGGCTGTGTGTGCGTGTCGGGGAGGGGGCACTAGCGGTCCGGGCGGTGAACGTTGCAGTTGCATACAAACACGTCACAGTCTTTTTTTCCCCCCTCGGCAACTGATCATTATTACAATTATAATAAGCTGGTCTTGACGCAGATCTACGTACTGAATTGTGCGCTGGTCTATGGAATCAAAAGTTGCCGTATGCTAGGCTCTACACAGCAACACAACTTTTTTGTAAACAATCGAGATAACACAGATTGAACGAATCGGTGTTTTTTTTACTCAGCTCATAATATGCAGGCATTTCAGGCACTACTACTACTTGTGACTTCTCTTACATTACTTGCTGAGTGCCTGTAATTATCTACACAAAACCTCGTGTTTGCTCTAACGAACAATCGGATTCAACGAGATCTTAGGTTGGGCCCGGCGACCTCGTTGAATCCGAGTTCCACTGTAACATGTGTTTTTGAAATGTGGAAAATTTGGATCAGTCCACAATTACAAATGCTCATCTTGATACATGATGTAACACGTATCGGTCTTCGGACAGTGGATATTTTCCAGGTGAGAAATAACTGCTTGAACAGGATAGCCAAAAATTTATTTAAAAAAAATTGGGCTTTGTATTTGTGTCATATTATCACTTCGTGATTTTCATGTCTTTATTAGTTCTTTCTGGGAATTTCTACCTGTTGCCTAGTTATCTTGAGACGGGAATGACTAGTGTCTGAAAGCAAGGGGCTCTTCTACGAAGTGGGGAAAAGGTAACTACGTAAAATTCAGTTGCACTGCAGGTTAAAGTTATTAAAGAACCAACAGCCGACTGCTCCTGAGCTCTTGCACTTGCAGCGGAACGCATTTGAAGTACATGTACTGTACACGTAGAATGTTAGCATTTATGACGTCATTTCAGGCATCGGGCTGCATGGCGACATAATATAATAATAATATAATATATTATAATATAATATACATGTAATTTTGTCAACTGGTCGAGGTGGTGCAGTTCTTTTGAGGTTTCTCTAAGTAGTCTAAGCGGCTTGGGAGTTGCATCCCGTTTACTACCGGTACATGTATAAACAAGCCTACATCTACAAATGATATACAGTAATTCCCATAATCATCGCAAACCTAGAGCGTCGGCGACAAATGTTAGAAACAGGTCGAACCCGCAGAGAGAGACATGTGGGAAAGATACAGTATTATAGATATATAACTGTCCCCGTAGAATTATGCAA